CTCGACAGTGGAGCTGATCGAACATGGCTAGGTCGAGGCACCAATGTGGCTCGATCTCCATGTTATGCCACATCTTGAACCCGCTCCCATAGTCCGGATGATCCACCAAGTAATTAATGTAATCGTGTATCGGGTCAACCATCCTGCAAAAATACCACAGAACATGCGGAGATCACAGCTTGGCAGTGGAGCTGATCGAACATGGATAAATCGAGGCACCAATGTGGCTCGATCTCCATGTTATGCCATGTCTTGAACCCGCTCTCATAGTCCGGATGATCCACCAAGTAGGGGAGCGGTTTCTATGAGTAACCTTGTGGTGAGTAAACATGAGTAACTCAATCCCAATTCGCCACATCAACACACTTTCTCTCTCCTGGAAAGCCTTTAATTTTTCCCTCTTAATCTTTAACGGACGATTTCTCACTCGTTTTAAGTCGGAATTTAATTTTTTTTTGCACAGTTAGATCAGATTAATTGTGTTCTTCAAAATGATATTCGCTTTGATATATTTATGAAACAAAAAAATTGAACCATTTTTTACTAGTCTATACCTTATGATATTGATTGGTATTAGATAAGAGCATAGCATATGGTATAAAAATATCACTCCATACCAGGGTGGTATAGTATGGTATGGAGTTGGTAACGAGAGGTATGAAAAATTTTCACCCATAGAACATGCACCATACATGGAACCAATGTCAAAAAACAAGGTCGACCCTATAATTTTGGAGGCCCTGTTCTAGAAACAAAATGAGGCCTAATATTTTTTAAAAAATTCAATAGAATACAAAATAATACATGAATAATAATGAATGATGAACCGATGATCACCGAAGCACAATAGAATAAAACATTGATTGATTAAGAGGTCAAACAAAATTAAAACAAATGAAAACAAATAATAACTCAATTGACAAGTAGTTAATTCACTAAACCCATTTAAATAATATTTGGAAACTCAATTGAGCCAAAGAGTAGAAGAAATTTTTTAGAGCCAAATATCATATACAAGACAAGAAAAGATTTAGAAGAAGATTATACAACATTTGAATTTTACTCTAAAAATGTTGTCGCTGCTAACTATTTAATGTAATAAGAATGTGTTCGAAATAATTGAGTTTATTTTTACTATTTAATGTAATAAGAATGTGTTCGAAATAATTGAGTTTATTTTTACTGTTTTTCCGAATAAGATGTTGCTCCATGTAAGATATTATTGTCGTAAGACCTAAATCATAAGTTTGAACATTTAAGTTTGAACATTTACAGAAGTCATGGAGGCGTGAAACTAGAAGTTCCAAAGGTCATGATTAATGCAATTTGAAACCTAAATCATGCCCGATGACACCCTACCATCATGCATAAAAGTCAAGCAAGTCATTCATTCATATACTACACTTGGTGGCCATTTTTCAATTCAAACCATAAATCATGATACATTTCTTGCCCACCAAAGCTTAATTAACTCTACAAACATTTCATGCATCATTCAATCACCCTAATTCGACTAACCCCTCGCCCAATTTCAACATGCATGCAAAAAATTTCCAAATCTCCTCACCTAAGAACTCTAATTCCAATCCTCCAAAATTAACTAAGGAATAGTTCAAAAAACACCTGGAGACGCGGGTAGGGGCGAAGAGGAAGGTGAGAAGATGTCAAGGTTGTCGAAAATCGCACGAAAAAATTGGCAAGAGAAGCTGGAGCCTCGCCTGAGGCTCACTGGAGGCTAATCGAAAAAATCGCGTCACCGGAAAAAGTGGAGCCAAATCGCTCCAAACTTTCGCCGAAAGGGCGCCTCAACTTGAGGATTATGGGTATGAGCTTGATAATGGCTCGATCACGCCCCCTTATGTACTACTCGAGGGAAATTGTCAAGTGTCGGGCCATATTATCACGGGTGCGAGACTGTAATAATAACTTGTTGTCCGTGATGACCCAAAACAGTACGTTTTGGGATGACTTCACGGTTTGTTAAATGTTATGTGCAAAAGCCTACGACAATTTCCTTAAGGCCATGAAAATTACGAAAAAACCGTGACAAATGCAAAAATAGGACGTTTCGACAAATTTTCAACTCCTAATCGATTCAACAATGCCCCTAACCCAAACACAACTCATTTAAACATTTAGAAACGTAGATCCTGGCATAGTGACTCTCTCACTTGACTCGAAGACACACAAAAAGAGGAAAAATAGGAAAAAGAAATGCAAATCGGGCGTTGGGGTGCCTGCCAACAAGTGTTACTTTTACGTCATAAGCTAGACAATTGCTCTTTAAGATTTGGTTCATCTAAGAACCTCCTTGAAGTTGAGGTTCTCATCTTCTAGGTGGATTCTTAAGCCATGAGCATATGGAATGGTATTTGATGACGAGTCATGTACATGAGCGAGTTGAAGCCTCACCATCGCATCAACCAAGAGGGATCATGGTTTGGCCTTGGCTTGGCAAAGAGCCGCAAATGGGTCCTTCTCCAAAAAGTGCATCGAGGTTGGGTGGAGAGCTTCTGTAGCACTTGTAACTTGTCAAATCTTTATCCTCCACGACCTCATCCTCATCTTGGACTTCATTCACTCTTTCAACTTCATCTTTAACCTCCCTTCCTTTTGCTTCATAACTTGTGTCCTCCATTCGGGAACAACCAAGGTCTTCCTCCTCTTTGACGCTCACTTCCCTTTCCATGGCCTTCGTTCTCTCTTTTTCCCGCTATTACTCAAACGCACCATGGAGAGAAAGTTGCCGAACAATTTCTTCATTACGATCCTCTTGCATCTCTTCCCTTGTGCAGAATTCTTCAAAGCTCAAAGCGGAAAATAGAAGGATGTGGTGTACCACCAAGGGACTTGATTTCTCATCATCTCGGGAGCTCTCTGGGATGAGTTCTTCTTGCTCCCCAAAGTCCTCATGGAATGCCTCCTCTACTTTTTCTTCCTCGACTTTCTCTTCCTATTTGTTGTGCGAAAGTTGTGCACATGCTTGCTCAACAATCCCTCGTAGGCTCTTCGAGTGTCGGAGGATCTCGTCCGATGTTTGTAGGAAGGACGATTCGATAGGAGCCGTGATTTCCCAATTGGAGCATGTCTCCGTATTTCAGGTGAACCGCTCCACCATGAGCTCCAATTGGCTCCTTGTCTCCGCATTTGAGGATGCTCCTTCAGAACCCCGTGCAAACCGCTCCATCATGAGTTCTAACTCACTCATCTGCTCCATCATGAGTTCTTGGTATGGGAAAACTTATTGATATCCCCATTGGTATGATTGTTTTGCTTGGAAGGGAGGTTGATCATAGAAGCTAGTTCATTGGCTTCCACCCTCGTGATTGCTCCATGAAGCTTCGGGGTACCCCCATTATAATGGTTGTGGATACCCCCATATGTTGTAGAACCCAATTGGATCCATGATTCAAACTACACAAACAAAAACACTAAAAAGAAAATCAAATACACACAAACCACCCTTTAAGACAAAGAGTGGGTACCCAAAACACAAACGAAACACAATAATAAAAACTGATAAAGTAACAAACCCAAACCCTTTCTGATAAGCTAGAACAAACTATTTCCCCGGCAACGGTGCCAAAAGCTTGGTTCACTCTGACTACAACATTCCCAATCGACGGCCAAGCATAACCGACGACCCGGTGAAGCAGAGGGTATGCAATCAATAAGATTTATCGAACCACTAGGGTCTAGGTGTACCCTTCTTCAGGCTTTAGGTTTCGTTATCTAGCCAACCTAAAATAATGATTAGGAAAACTAATCTAACCTAGCTAACCACTAACCTAGTTAATTATAAGTGGTGGAGCCTTCTTAGGTCTGAATCCCCCTTGTTTCTTCATTCGGATCAAGGTTGAGTATTATCCTATCTTGACTGACCCAATTTCATTTACCAATTAGGAGCTAGGCTCCCTAGGGTTTCGACCCAGAACGACGTACCAAGGGATGGTGGTGTTCTATTCATCTTATGGTTTCTTATACCGTCAAGACATCAATTGTATTGACTCACTCGGGGGTTGCCCGGAATGATGCAAGAAATGAGTGACCCGAAGACGACAATAATGGGCTCTAAGGGAATTGACTCCCCCGTAGGTCAAAAGCTCAATAAACATGAAGTGGGAACCAAACTCATGCAATCCATGAAAATCATCCATGTACTAAATGAATTCATCAATCAATTGTAGGATATGTCACATACACCAACATTAAACCCGAAATTTGAACCTAGGGTTCATTAGCCTAAGAGAAGGGGTTTAGTTCTTAGAGAGAAGAGAGATTACAATACAAAGCACGAACTCTTCCATCTTCATCTTCTTGGGGTTATTCTTCAAGCTCCAATAGTTGGTGACATCCTCCAAACAAGCTCCAAGAGCACTCTAGATCTCTCCCTCTTTATAGAAGTCCCCCTTTGCAGCAGTTTCTAGAAAGAAGACTAGAAACTATCAGTCCTTACCGCAGTCTACAATGCGGGGATATTTCAGCAGGTATTAGGACATAACATGCAAGCTTCGGCACAATCTGAACTATGCAACTTTTAAGAAATCATCAGATAAACCATTCCAACAGACATGCATACATCACAGTACACTTTCCTAAACAAAAAGAAGATTGTAGTTGTATCCCGCGATATTGTGAAGTCTCAAAAATGGACCAGAAGAACTAGCAACAAACTTTTGAATCTAACTTCATAATAACAAAAATTTCAAGATTGAAAACAGGAACTGCCATCACACCTTTTGAATTTATGTTCTATATCACCTACAAACCATTTATCATCTGGCCCCGGCGGGGAAAATCCAACAGCGATTTTCTCAGGAATCAACAAACATCGTAAGCCCTTGTCATATGGACCCAACTATTCCATGTTACATATACAGCCAACTAGGTAAAATATAAGGCCAAGGACATCCTCGTCCTTAGGTCCTATCATGGAGTATATCACATAGGCCATTCCCTTATCAATTTGCCTCAAATCGGAGTGAAGATTTTCATGATCACTGCTATAAATCACAAACATACAGCTGAATGAACCTTAAGGTGGAGCATCATGCAACAAATGAACCTCAAGAAGCCAGAAAACAGTCTTTTCCCTAAACTCCCACGCATGTTTCGAACTTGCTCAATGTACAACAAAGGAGAAACTACAAGACTCAGCTAACTGATCCAGTCTAAAAGCAATGGATAGAGTGCATGTCCACATCCTTCCTAATTACTCATCATTGCATCATCTCATAATTCGCAATGAAAATTCGCCAAAATGGAAATTTTAGACCACTTTATCCTCAACAAAACCCATGAACTTCCTTGACAAGTATGCCAATCCGTTGTTGTACACTTCAGAGTTCAGATAGTGTCCCAAGCACAAGAATTGCTTGTATATGGGTTGTACTTCCTGCAAAGTCAAGTTACTAGCCTCCTTAAAGATTTCAAGCTTTGTTCCAAGAAGACACAGCACGAGTACCCGAGTTCCCACAAAGTTCAGTTACTTGGTTCCCTTTAATATTCAAGGCTAGCATGAAACACTTCAAAAAGTACATCAAATGCAGCCCAACAGCACTCCATCAAATCCAATTGCTCCCGTGTGAACATAACTGAAATTCTTTGCAACACTGGGAAACCTCAGCCTCTTTCTAAGTGTGCTGTCTCCATCAGATGTGAACTTAATAGTGAAATAAAGGATCAACAAATACATAAATACGATAGGGGTCTCATTTTCAGTTCTACACAGCTGGAGTTACACCATAAACTTTATAAAGTATCCAGCGTGTAGATCACAGGACATGAGCCAAATCAGTCCTTTTTTCTTTACAACAACTTCTGGTTAACTTCTGTGGCAAGATACTGGAGCCAAGCTTCCCAATCTTGCTTTCTCCATAGTGTACGAACCTCAAAGGTCAAAGCTTAAATCTCCAAATTGCCAACATCCTAGAACAGCCTCTGTCATCATACATAAATTAAGTGGTGACCATCCATTCCACTTTCTTCAACTACACCCCTTAGGAACCGAAGAGACACTAAAACCATCCGAAAACAATGCCCAACAAAAAAAACACCTCCATTTTGTGCAAACAATCACATGTTGCTGTAAACTAGAGGATTATACTTACATTAGTAATATGATCCTTGACCACCAGAACCCATGTAACCGCTGCTGCTGCCGCCAATCCCACGACTAGAGTACATTGATGAGTAAGAACTACCTCCAACCTACAAGAGTCAGGATTTAGATACAATAATCGAGCGGTTGCCATTTCTATCACAAAGGTGAAAGGCGTACATCACTCCCTCGGGACATGCAATCACCACCATAATTCGAAGGGTACAGTCCACCACCATCACTGCTCCCATAAGAACCTGACAATATCATGGTTGATAGTCACTTAACTGTGAGAGGAACACAAGGGGAAGTTTATTAATGCTTCATTGTAGAAAAAGATAACCAACCTCCATAAGTTGTACCATGTCGCCCTCCATACATCCCATGTGAATCATGACTGGACATGGAACTTCTGCCACTCCCATATCCTAAGTTCGATCTGCCAAGTCGACTAATGAAGAGAAAGTCTAAGTGTCTCCACCAATTATCCAGCTCAATAAAAAGAACTACTATCAAATCAAGATACAACAACGGACCTATCACCATAGCCATCCCCATATTGAGAAGAAGCAGGACCGAGTTCATATTCTACACGAGCCCTCGAATGACGAGGGCCAGAATCAGCATAATGTGGAGGAATGTCATCCTTGAAGCCATGGAAAGACCGTGTCATACAGAAACATTTCAGTAATTTGTTGAATGTGAAGAAAACTAGACATATAAGACAATACGGACTAGCAATCAATAACTAACCATAACAGAATAAGGACGTTTTGAACCAGAGAAAGAGTCATAATCACGAGCACGTCCTTCACGATAACTTGGAGGGGGCCTCTCAAATCTCTGAGCATAGGCATCATCCACATAAGCTCTCCTGGCAGATCCACGAGAACTACTTCTAGGAAGTTCAGGGTACCCAGAACCTCGTGAGGAATATTCATCTCTGTAGGATTGACGTCTCTGAGGAATATCCCTGGAACCATAATCAATGGCAGCTCGGCTTCTTGGCGGTGGTACTTCATCACGGCGAGTATATTCCCTTTTCAAGCTACTCTTCGGGTATGATGGAACTGAAGAATATAAGCAATCGTCATTAAGTATTTTGCGGAGTCTGAACAAAAATAGAACAAAGGAGCTGAATTGATACACACCAGGTGCCCTTCTATCATAGGACCGAGGGGGACGAGCCAGAGGCCTGCTTCTTGCTGGTTGAGACATCACAGGGGCACGGCGTTCACGCAATCCAGCATGCCTTTTCGCAGAGGGTGGCGGTATATGATTTCCAGTCATTCTCACCGAACGGGATGGAAGGCTACGTGGTGCAGACCGAACCCATGGACCCCTGCTGCTAACTCTACCAGTTCCGCGTCCAGGACGAACATCTCTACGGCTTGAATGTTTCCCTTTTCCCCTCTGAAGAGGCCTTGACAACCGAGCCCTAACTTTAGCCTGATAAATAAGACCACAATGAAAGCTTTCAGAAGCTGAACCATCAAATGGTTAATGCTCAAAAACAGTAAACGCAAGGAGTGCTACAAACCTTATTCTCTCCTTCCCCAAGATCTTCATTGTTAATACTTTTAGCACAGGTTACTGCAGCCTCGTGACTGTCAAAGGTGACAAAACCAAAATCTTTCCGCTTGGCTGATGGCATGTTTCTAGCAAGTTCAACCTTCCCAATCTTTCCATACACCTTTAATAGTTCCCGGACATAGTCCTCATCCCATGAAGAAGGAAGACCATCAATGAATACAGTCTTGACCTGAATACAAAGAATAAACTGAACATTTTAAAAAATATATACAGCACCCTGAAGCATGACTGTAACACTTTTCACACTATGAGAGTACAAAAGTAATATAAGAACTTCAAAGCAATGCAAAACTTAAATGTGGAAGAAAAATAAAAATGTACTAACAGAAATGGTAAGTTCCCACCGTGACAATGCTCGCTTCAATAAAAAGAGAAAGAGCAAACTAAAGGAATTGTTGGCTAACTAGATTCTTATCACCATAAAAGGTAAAAACCGTAGTGTAGTTATGTTAGCTAACCCAGCCATGGTTGAATGCGTACTTCAGAACAGTTGTGTGAAGGATACCTGTGCCATTATTTCATCCCCCGGGTCAATGAAGGAATCAGCAAAAGAGACTTTTGCTGGCCTATCAACTCCAAATAAAACATCCCTCTTCTGCAGACGCTTAAAGGCGTCCATGGCCTCTGACCGACATGAGAATTCCAGAAAAGCAAACCCTCGGTTCATCCCTTCACTGTTACTATCTTCAACCAGGGTCAAGTCCTCAACATTATCAACTCCATAATGTTTCAATTTCTGTTTCAACTGGAAGCAAATTCAATGGCCACATATCAGGAGCATATCACTTTCCTTATTCCTGGTCAAGAAAACTTGAAACACTGACAGCTACCTCCTTAAATATGCCCAATATACTTACAGCTTCTTTTGTCCATGTCTTGCAGATGTTACCCAAGAAAAGGGTGTCACTGTCTTTACTAGGACTAACACCACAATGTTTCCCGTTAATCTGGAAGCGCAATCATTAAAACGTAATTTAGGTTGTATAGCAAATCTGCATGACATTTAAAAAATCACATATGAAAATTACCACTGGATTCTTCAACTCATTAACAGCCCGTTTGGCTTGTTCAACACTAGAAAACCGCAGGAATGCAAACCCTTTGTTTTTCTTTGTCTGGGGATTCATCATCAGTCGCACTTCAGTGATCTCACCAACTCGTCCGAAAACTTTCCGAAGATCACTTTCAGTGGCATCCTTATCCAGACCACCAACAAAGACCTCAAACTCCTTACGCTTGCGCCTCTCCTTAAAAACTTCATGGTGCTCATCCTCTTCAGTTGCATCCATCTCAATATGTTCTTCACCAGCATGCTCATCATCCTCTTCAACCTCAACTTCTTCAGGAACCTCCTCCAGTTCCTCCTCCTCGACCAGATCATCCTCCTCTTCCTCTCCATTATCTTCCTCTAGCTCTTCCTCTCCTTCCTCCCCAACCCCTTGGTCATCATCTTGATCAATTTCCTTATCATCGTAGTATTCACCACCATATTCTTCAGGTTCGTATTCAGGCTCATTATCATCAAGCTCTAACCGTTCATCCTTTTCATAATCCTCAACAGACTCTTTCGCTTCTTCACCTTCTGCCAGGAAAAAGGGTTGTTGGCCCAGTGATTTCAAAAACACAATTCTCAGTTCCGATCTAGGACGGATGTCATATCCTTTAGGAACTTCGGATTTAGGGAAGGCCCAAAACCAACAAGAATCGGCTGGAGCTCGTAATACAGAAGCAATATGGAGACTAAAATTGGGTGCTAGCGGAAATCAGGCAGATGGGAATGTAAAACTGAAGACTTCAGCGATTGATGCACATAGAAGCGCATGTTACGGAATGTAAAACCGCAATCAGGATCGTAGCCAATTCAGCCATAACGAGGAACATGGAAGAAAAGAGATAAAGGTACATACTTTTCAAGGACGACAAGCTCTTAACGTCCGATTTGGAACCATCATCAGCAGGCTTTTCTTCAACGACCGGCTTGCTGTCAACCTCCAGCTTCTCCTGGACAACAGGCTTTTCATCGATGATTGTCCCTTCCTCTATCTTGAGTACCTCATCGGCAGCTTCGGGATGCTGATTCTGGGTCTTGCTGGTACCTCGCGCGGCTCTACCGCCCCTCTTAGATCCAGATGCCGCAGCTCCGCGCTTCACGATTCGTGGAGGCATCGTTTGTTTCAGGCTTCCAAACGATCTAACTGGCTATAGATTTTCGCACCTAAAACCCTAAAGCCTTGAAATGAGATGAATAAGAATTAGGAAGCGTGTGTAATGTCGGGAATTGTTTCCAGCAGAAAGACAAACCCTAATTCAATCCAAGATGGTACTTTTCTATTTTTTTCCCCCGATTATTTTCTCGTTTTGTGTACCTTTGATCTTTTTATCAGGTTGTTAAAGAGGTTTCGACTTTGCCAAATGTCACATACGCCAGCAGTAAATAGGGATGGCAATGGATCGGGGTTGGGTCGGGGTTTGCCAAATCCAAACCCAAATTTATGGATTTATCCGTGAAAAAAATCAAGGGTAAAACTCAAATCCAACCCAATCCGTTGGGTATCCGCGGATTCATGGGTACCCACGGGTTTTTGTTATAAAAAATTCACAATAAAAAGTTCCTATCAAAATTAACGTCAAATATCAATCTCTCAATACAAATTATCCATATATAAAACACCATTCTAAAAAATTCAAGCAAATCACAAATTAACTATACAAATTGTTCAACACCAATCTAGAAAACTCAAGAAAATTGAAACAAATCACAAATTATCCATAAATAACATGATCAATTGAAAGCTTCTTCCTTTCAATTAAGTTTTTCAATCTCCACTCGATAACATCAAATTCATTCTACACTACTAGAAAGAAAAAATTAGACATGTCTCCACAAACATAAATAAGATTAGTTGTTTAGAATATTAAATATGTCGAGAAAATTAATTATATGGGTGTGGGCGGGTACCTATGGGCCGAGTTTACCTAAACCCAAACCCAACCCGGTGAATAGTGAACGGGTTTAAACCCAAACCCGGCCCAAAACCCGTCAACACGAATTTTACCCGCGTTGACCGGGTTGGATCGGGTGGGTACCCGTGGGTTCGGGTTTTATTGTCATCCCTAGCAGTAAAACCTTTAGTGGACACTCGTTGTGGAAAGTGGTAGATTTAGTGTTCGAAATCGATCCCCACCGAGATGTGGTATGTTGTTCCCGTGGGCATTTAATGGAAGAGCACTTATTCTATTATGTTTTAAAGTACAACTTGAAATTGTACCATAACGTTAAAAGCACAAATTAAAATTGTAAATGAATTTGATATTTATGTTGTACCTTGTACCATAACATAAAGGTACAACTTTAGGTTATACCATAATATTAAAGATATAACTTCAAATTGTACCATAAAAGGTAAAACTAAAGCATCAATGCTTTAAAGCATTGTTTTCCCTTAACGGAGATCCTCGATGAGGGCCTGAAGGGCTTAAATAGGTGAATCCTCGGGTTTGGTCTCGCTCCGCCATCGCTCAATCGATGTGTGTGTGGAGACGTTATTGGGTTTAAAAAAAGAGGTTTTAACTTTCGAGTTTCGACTAACGAGTAGCCAGCAGGGATAGAAATTAGTCGGGTTGATCGGTGTTTTTCTAAATTCAAATTCACTTCAGTTGGTGCATTTTTAAAAAACATTCGATTAAATACTAATTGGATTTTAAGACGAAAACTCAATACAATCTAATTATACATTATTTTTTTCTAATACCCATGTCATATTATTATAAAAAATTTGCTATAAATATATCTCCATAAATACCAGTAACATCCATAAAGTATTCATATTATTAGGTTTATATTGTCACAAAACTAATAGTATCCATTCATTTTGTTCCAGTTAAATTCAAAATGACGTCATTTTGATTAGGGGTGCGTGTCCGGTGGAAAACGGGTTAGATTTTGGCAAAATCCAAACCAGTGTCGACCTATCAATTTCAAAAGCTGATAAAATCCATACCTGATCCAGAACCCGTCAACACTGGATTTTACCGGCTTTTACTGAGTTGAGTTGGGTTCAAGTTCAATTATTATCCCTACTAGCGACCCACAAAGCAAGTGGGCCACAGGTCAAGTAGTCTAACCCGTATATGTGAGAAAAGTGGAAGGAGTCAAGTAGATGACCAACTAAAATATGCCCAAAGGAAAACATGGGATACCATTCAAATACAAAATGGATTAGTGAATGGTCGTTCAGATGGTGTTATTGGATGCATCATTTGGACTGAATTGTCTCATATTGAGGCAATTGGATAAAAAAATTTGTTTGGCAACAAAAAAAAAGTAGAATACCACAACTGGGTCTCATGGGATTTAATTATTGCGTTTTGCATTATTTATGACTAGTTTTGTGCCCGTCCGATGGGCGGCGAGTTACATTTGTTTGTACCTTTATTTCTATTATATGTCATTTTTCCAAAGGTATCGGACTCCTAGTTTCCATATTTATTTATTATTGTTATCTATTATCCGTGTTTCATCATATATGAGGGGCGCTTTGAATAAAAAAAAAGATATGAGTGCGCTACATTTAATCAAGGTTTTAATCATGATCAACAATAATGTCAAACAACGTTGTAACTTCATCACTGCTTGGAAAATAGTATTCATACCATCTAAGCTTTGATTGACCTGCCATTTTCAACTTCATAAGTTGTACATGGTTTAAGCTAGCGTACGCCACCTTACCGTCCTAATTTCGAGTTTTGCTATTTAGACCATTAATTAACGGAGTTTGGGACATGATACTATACCAAGTCTCTAATGGGCGAACCCCATTCTCTAATTCTCAATCCAAATCGTAAGATTCATTTAATACAAAAATAATAACCAAGGATTATTATTTGTCAAAATATATTAAAGAACAACTAATAGGTGTGAACGAAGGTGTATATCACACCTCGATTGTACACTAGCCTTTTCTACCATTATATTAAAGTACAACCAAACTTGCTATGCTTCTATATTACCTTCAACATTTTATGAATGATATCAAATCGAAATGTTAGTTATAGAGACACTTTTTCTTCCCTTCACATTATCATCCAATATTAAATGTGTGACTGGTTGTAATTGGAATTGTGTGATAACTTAATACAAACATAAAGGCGCCATGTTGTGCAATTAGTACAATAGATAAATTTACAGGACATTGGTCAGGGTATGATCTTGTGTTGGTTTTATAGCACACTGGTTCGTGTATGTCCCGCACTGTTATACAGGATATCGGTTGGGGAATGATCCCGTAGTGGATTTACAGGACACCAGTCTAGGTACGATCCACGGTGGTGTACATTACATCTAATGTACTATCCGGGGAGTGTATGACTTGGCAAATTAAGAAGTAAAAAACACTGAATCAACCTAATCATGCATGTGATTGAATTCTTGTGTAAAGATTACTTATGATGTGGTTAAGTGATTACTTCCTATGATGTGATATATGAAATGTGCATGTCGATGATGATGGTTATGTGATGGTTTTCTATGGTGTTTTAGACAATGATTTACCATTAGATGGTGTGATGTTTCGCTATGTTGGGACGGGGTTAAATGGTAATGCCGATATGATGTGATACTTGATGCATACATGTTTATACAGTGAGTTATCAAGAGGCTGGGTGATGGTCCTTATGTTGTTAATGTATGAATTATTTAAGTTTGAGATGATGAATGTGGTATGACATGTGATGAATGAATGTTTATTTGACTGAATGAGATATAGCATATCGGATGTATCTTAATAGTTAAGTTAAGTGAGTAAGGACTGAGAGGTGGGTGACGGGAAACTGAATACTCCATATTTTGCCATGGTCACTGGAAGGGACAATAAGTCCTTTCGAGTTGTACTTTTAAAGTTAACAGAGAAGAATTATATCATTATCTTATAAGTTGGATTATCCGGCGAGTATAAATGGTTACTAAAAATAGAATAGTAGTATATGTTAGCGTGTCACATTAAGTAAAGATTAAAATAGTTATTTACATCTCAACCATTATATATATTAAGATTTGTTTATAAATATTTTTTAATTAAGATGTTATGCATTTGAAGATGACTAAGTTGCAAATCTACACTCTAGGAAAAAGAAAAGAATTAATGTCAAACAATAAAAAGAAAAAATTATAATTACATAAGGAAAAAAGTAAAGACAATGTGTTTTATAATTGTGCATGGAAGAAAATTAAATGGCGTACGAAAATTTGAAAATAGAATGAAATTGGAATCGCACAAAAGAAAAGATAATGATATCATTTAATATGCGAGAAACGTAAAATTCATTCCCTAAAGATGACAAATACATATGTATATGTACATTACTTTTCTTGTAACTTCTTACCAATTGAACACGGACATATCTTAACATATAACCATAATTCGGTTTCGAAAAAGATACAAAAAATTTGGTGACCATTGGTGTCTAGATGAAATTGTTATGTATCACTAAATTGAATTATGTTGATATATTTCATTAATCATATAGAAATATCTCACATGAATAAATTATTATGACTCTGGTTTTGACTTAGAAAACCATCATTTTTACTTCAGCTATTATCTTTTAATAATCTAGTAATCACACAAAAAATGTTATTTTTCTAGTACAGCGCGATAAGAGTGTATTAGCTCATATATTTATAGTAGCTATTTTCTAACAAATTGCAACATAACTATATTGGTTCACATATTTATAGTAGTTCGTACAAATAATGTTAAATATTTCGTGTTAGAATACGAAAGAAGGTAATTCTATGCTTTTTAGTTTTCATTTTTAAAAAATCATATGTCAAATTATGTAAAAGTTAATAATTGGGTACCAACTAAATTCATGATTTTTGGATTTTTTACTTATTTTTCAAAAATTATAAATATTATCAAACATATTATCAACTAAAAATTAAAATAGGTTATTTTTAGTTGTTAATGATTTGTATAGTTTCTTAAAAATAGAATACAAAATTTTAACCGTGATATTTTTTATTGTGTAATGTACATAAGTCAACCATTAAATAAAAATATAATTTTATGTGTTGTATATTTTTTTATAAAATGAGTATTAATCTTGTTGTGATTAATTCCATAAAAGATATTTTTTCTATTGGTTAAACAACTTAAATGATTATAGTTTGAGCTCCTAGGTTGCATGATTAGATCTTAGTTATAGTGATTGATATACATGTTTTGTTGTGATCAATAACATCAAATATACTTTATCCTATTGGTTGAACACTTGAAATGATGATAGTTTGACCTTGGAGGTCATAGGTTCAAATCTTGGTCATGATGATTGATACAC